GTGTTGGAGTTTGTGTTTGACTTTTTTTAGCTCAGCTGATAAGCAGCTGAATACTTAAAACCAGACATTGTTTTGTTCCTAGTCTAATGCACCTGAAAAGTGAGGGTGATAACTAGCTAATTTTCTAAAATACATGCTAGATACTGTTCTAACAGCATCTGGGGAAATTGTGTAGGGTCATAAATTCCTACCCTCACAGAGCTTAGGCCACCAATGACCCCATTCCATGAAAAATAGATCTAATATTTGTGATGTTTTATGCCACACATTTAAGGGTGCGAATTTGTTCAAATGAGTATTACTTCTTGCTCTAGAATTGAACGCCCACACAAAGCAAGAGAGATAGTGAAGATATAGAATCAAAGAATAGAATCATACCATATCCATGTGAAAAAACAGCAGCCCACATAAATAACTTGCTTTTTACATAAAGATACATTCTTAAAGACTCTTCTTTAAGATCTAAATCTTGTGCCCCTTTTTGGTATATTAATAATATATAAAACTCCTAATGAAATATTACTTTCTAAAGAAAAATCAATCCTCAGTTACAGTAAAAGAATAATCAAAGTGTTTCAAGAGCATTCAGAAAACTCCAATACATGACAGATTTTCTCTTATCTCTCACCATTAATAGTAACCACATGGTGATAGCTGTTGTAGAATTGTGCCTTGTTATGGTCTACACTTTTTCATGTTTTCAACCATGAAGCATCAAGCCAGCCACTTTTAATTGCTTATCTGTGTTTACCTTATAAAGTTTCATAAACAATGTATCTTCCTTCAGGGCACTTGCATTCCAGAAAGACAAATCCAAGAAGAACATTTTTCATAAAATCTTAAAATGGTTAAAAGGGCTCTCTAAGAGAGTCCAAGCTGAGCAGATAATTGTCTAGCATTTATAAAAGGCCTACGCGATTTCCATTGAGAAGGAGTAATTGAATCTGCAATTACTTTCATTTCATAGGGGACATAAACATGGATTCTACAGATCTAATTGTGATGGCTGTTTTCTTAATTACTCTAATTGCTTTGTAGGGAATGCAATCTTGAAACATTGAAGAAGCCTCAATATTGATGACTAAGGACACCAGTAGAAGTATTTAGAAAATCTACTTTGTTGTGTTTCAGACAACTCTGTTGTTTATTTCACCTCCTGGTGATGGACTAATGCTCCCCCTCATCCCCAAGTGTTCTATAACTGTGGTCATTGACTGCAGATATAGAGACTGTATCTGTAAGTGAACGTAGAGGAACTGGCAAAGATGCTCCATGGCAATGGCAGGGGCTTCCTTTTTAAGAACATGCAGTTGTGTCCATCTAGTCATTTTTGATGATGCCAAAAATGGCCCTTTCTCTCCCCAATCCAACCTCTACCATGCACAGAGATCAGATTCCTAGAAATGGGCCTTTGTCTTGTCAAAGGAAAAACTACAAGAAAGGGAAAGATCTAATTGGCTTTGTTATCAATCCTAGACACAGGCAATATGTCACACTTTACAACATTCTGTAAAATAGAATGGATTTACCAAGGAGTTGAGCAGAGGAGGTTGGCTTTATAGGCAGAAGAGGGCTGAAGAAAGCAGAAAAAGAAGAGAAAAAAGATGGTTGTTTCCAAGTTACTTTCTTTCTAGTGTTAAAATAAGTGATTTCTTTAGCATACTGGCTCAGAAAAAAATGGTCATTTCAGATTGATTACTGTGAATCTGTATCTGTTTTTTTTTTTAATTTTTGTTTATTTGCTTGTTTTTTTACTTGACCTGTGTCAAAGTTCAGGTTGGTCATGGCACTTAGCAAAAGTGACTCCATTTTTGGTCAGTCCCATCTGCTGGGGTTTATGGCAGGCATCTACTCCAAAGTACTAGCCTCCTCTAAACTTTGTTTAACAGTCTTATTGAGACATTGCTTCTACTAGAAGGAATGGAAAAATGGTTTGTGTATTAATTACTTTCCAGTTATTGGGACAAAAATATGAAACATAACTTAAAAGAGGTTTATTTTGGCTCATAGTTTTAGAAGGTTAGGTCTGTGAATGGTAGGCAGGCTCCAAGGCAAAAATGGCATGGCAGAAGGAAAAGGCCAGAAAGATATAGTAATGTCTTGGTTCACGAATGCTTCTGTTTGCAAACAATTCAGTTCACAAACAAAAGCATTTGGCAAAAGTTAACTTCCATTCACAAACACCGCATAAGGTGACAAACACAACCACAGCTGTCTTCCCCACAGAAACACAAATGCAGCCATCTTCCCCCAAATAGTGGAACAAATTAAGTTTGTAAACCAAGGAACCACCCTACAGCTTCCAAAGGGCACCTCCAATGATGCACATCCCCCATCTGCATCCCATATGTGCAACTATGAACTTATCAATGAATCGATCCACTGATGAGTACAGCACTCCCATGACTCAATCTCCTTCTGAAAACAAGAGACTTGTGGAAGACATTTTAGATCTAAATCATTACAGTCTCACATTCTTCCTTGGAAGCAGTTTTCTATAGGGACCAGGACAGAGGAAGAAGGGGAAAAGAGAAGATTGGGAAAGATGAAGTTGGAGACAATAAAACAAAATAAAAATTCTCACCTCAAAAAACATTAAAGTAGAATTAGTCTTGACTGGAGTTGTTATTATGATATTCGCTACAAACTTTTAAAGAATTAGGTAGCATTTGTTACCACACCATGGAATAGCATCTTATTCCTGGATAAATTCTGTCTCCGTGTAATGGATGTGTTCCTGAATGATTATTTGGGAATCAAAATTTGTCACATTCAACTAAATATCCTTCTATCCCTGGGTCACAGGACTGCATCCAAAGAGGTTTCCCTTGAAATAAGGAACCTAAACCTAAGCTACTGCAGAATAAAGTAGCAGGTTTGCTCACTTTTGTTGCAGAAAAGGAATTTTCAGGATGCATCAGTGAGAGGCATTCAGGGATTTATTTGGCAGAAATTTAATGTACACACTCAAGGAAATGGAATGCAGAACCCCAAAGGAAATATGTGCCTGATGATCTGGAGTTAGATATATTTATGTACTATTTTTTTCTTTTGGTACTGGGGATCGAACTCAGGACCTTGTGCTTGCGCAGCAGGCGGCAAAACCACTGAGCTAAATCCCCAGCCCTAGATATATTTATGGATCTCGGGGATGTTTTTAAAATGGATGATCTAGGATGTGTGTTCCTACTGTCTGTCAGATCACTCCTCTGGGTGTTACATCACAATGCAAACCATTTACCTGTGCTTCAAATTGAGATCTGCTGCCCTCTTTTATAAAAGTTACTAGTAAAAAGAAATAATAACTTTCCAGGAAAATTGTTATAGGCTTTTTTCTTTCAACCTAATTTTTCTGTATATTTTACATGGCTATTAGGAGGAAGAAAAAATTAAGAGAAAAATATAAAGATTTGTATGTAAAGTGAACTTAATGGTCTGAACCAAAATTCACACATAAGATTCCAGAAAGTTTAGAAACTCCTTGAGATGAACAATAGATGCTAAAATTTTAGCATTTTCAGGAAATGACAATTTCAAATGGTGACCAGTGAACCTAATTTTACTGTTATACATATCCTAAAAACCCAAAGATATTTGGTTTTCCTAATTTTAAAGCTACTTTTTGAGATTGTGACAGGTTACAGATGACAGTAAAGGAGCCAATTCTGAATAAAAAATGCAAAAGAGACTGGAACATGGATGAGAAGGCAAAACCTTCTGTGCCACTTTATAATTTGACTCTTTTTAAATTATTATGTGTCAATTAAAATAAATTTTTACCAAAAGAATGTCTATGGAGGTCAAGGGTGAGGGAGAGCAGACTAAATGGAAGTGTTTAAAGAGAAACGTTCTGAGATCCTATCCAGGAAACAAGGTCAGTTTGATGTGTAAATATTCTTATGAACCTTAAAAGCAGGGTAAAGTTCTGATAAAATGAGTCAGTCAAGATTTTGTACTCCCAGCTTCAAGGTCACAAAGTAGAAGACTTCAAGCTTACCTCATAGTTCCATACCCAAGCATTTCCAGTGACATATGTACAAAGGAATTGTTTTTACTATTGCCAAATTCACATTTGCAGTTATCTATAGTTCTTTAAAATAAAGGACTGTTATGGTGCAATTTACATGCCATACTATTCATTCATTTTGATTGTGCACTTCAAAGGTTTTAAGTAAATTTTCTGACTTGTGCAGCAAATCACCACAGTCAGATTTAGGATGATTTCATTATTCCTGTGTCCTGTTTACCATTAGTCTCTGTTTCCACCCCAGCCCCAGGCAACCTGTGATCTACCTCTCTCTGGAGATTTGCCTTTTCTGTACATTTCATATAATTGAAGTGATAGAATATACTGTCTTCTCTGTAAGTTTCCTTTCACTTACTATAATGTTTTTGAAGTTTGTTTGTTATGACACATATCCATGTTTCTTTACTTTTTGTCATTGAATAATATTCCATTGAATGGATATACAGTAAAACCCTGTTTTGCTAATATAATTCATTCATTCCAGAAACATGTTCGGAATCCAAAGCACTTGTATATTAAAGTAACTTCTCCATAAGAAATAATGGAAACTCAGATGACTCATTCCATAACCCCAAAAATTCATATAAAAATGATTACAATATTTTAATATAATAAAGAAAATACAAATATAAAGCAAAATAAACAAATTAACCTGCACTTACCTTTGAAAACTTTCGTGGCTGGTGTGAGGCAGACAAGGAAGAGGACGGTTATTGTGTAGGGTGACTTTCACTATTGCTGATGAAATCACTGCTATCTATTGGCTCAGTGGAATCTTTTTCTTTTCACACAGCTTTAATAAGGAATCTGTCCAATGAATGATACTTGCTTTTGGCTCCTTTTGAGAATTTCATGAAAATGTGACACTGCATTGTCATTAAACAGATTCACCACTCGCACTGCTGGAGCCTTGTTTGGTGGTATTTTCTACAAAATTTCACACTGTTTCCCACATTTTACACAGCTCCCTAATCTCATTTGAAGTGAGGGATTCCTCCACGTTTTTCTCCTCCTCCTCTGCAGATGAGATCTTCTCCATACCTCTTTCTGTTGGGAGGTGATCACCCACAATCCTGCAGAGAAAGAGAGAGAGAAAAACCATTGGTTCAGTTGTGACCATCATTAGGCATCACTTAGTACTCGTATTGCAAGACATCGCTTGTTTATCAAGTTAAAATGTGTTAGAAATGTGTGCGTGCGTCTTGCAGAACACTCACAGAACAAATTACAGTCCACAGTTTTACTGTACCATATTTGGTTTTTCCATTAACTAGCTGCTGGACATTTGGATTGTTTTCATTTTGGAGCTATTAGACATAAAGCTGCTATAAGAACATCTACCTAATAATCTTTCTTAATTTTTTTTAGCTTTTCCTGCTACCTCACCATCTCCCAGTTCTACCTAAAAATCTTTGTGTGGATATTTGCTTTCATTTCCTGGGTAGCGAGAGAGAAATTATTGAATCGTAGAGTAAATCTGTTTGACTTTACAAGAAGCTACAAAACTTCTCCCAAAAAGGACTGTACCACTTTTTATCCTCACCAATGACCCTTTGTGATGGTTTTTCCAAATCCTTGTCAGTACTTCTTACCATCTGTCTTATTGATTATGGCTATTCTGATAAGTGTGAAATAGCATCTTAGTGTGGTTTTAACTGCATTTTCCTACTAGCTGACAATATTAAGCATCTTCTCATCTGTTTATTTCTCATTTCTGTATCACTTTGTGAGACACTTCCCACAACTAAAAGTTCTTCTTGGATTCTTTGCAGTAATTTTGAGCTCAGATGATGCTGTGGTGGCAATGCATGAAAGTGCTTGGATTATAAATTTTTAAGGGTACCCAAGTACTCCTAAAACACCACAAAAAAGAAGTCTTTTTCTTTCTGCTAGAATCACAGGACATATTCCTAGTATAATAACTGTCATAACATCTGGTAGACAAGCAGGCCCACAATTATAGAAGCTACTGCTTTTGCTTTGTTTTGTTTTGAGTTTTTTGAGACAGAGTCTCATTGTATAGTCTAAACTGGCCTCAAACCCGATCTTCCTGCCTCAGCCTCCCCAGGGTTCAGATTACAGGCATGCAGCAAATATTTTTATAATTTTTAACTGAGCTAAAGGCAAGATTGGACTGCCTCAGGGCTTGTTTGCTTTCTCAGCAGGCAGAGAAAGAACAGCAGAGCAAGACAGAATCCTCAGGAAAACAATACTGAAATGAAAAATCAATGCCAGTAACCTTGCAAAATCCAGAGAATTCAGTAGAAATGTTGATAGATAAGGCAAGAGTCTCAGTTCAGGGCCTATTAGAAATGGATGATAGAATTTTTCTAATGTACAAGCTTACTATCACATGTAATTAGCTTATTATGCTAACATGATAAATAGTTACGGAGTAACTCCCTAAATTAGATCGACCTCAATTTCTAAGGGTCATAACTTTCAACAAAATCTTCTTTTGCTTGCTAAAAAAAATAAGATCCCAAAGCAGACATAATGCAGGTATTTTGGAGGGCCCTTCTCCAGATCTCAAATCATTTTAGCAATGATTTCTGCTGTAGAATCCCATCAGAAACTTGCACTAGTTAAGCCCCTTCTTCCCCATTCAGAAAATTGTTCCCATAACCAATATGACACCCATTGCTCTGTGAATTTCACACATAGCCATTTGTGACTTTAAATTTTCTCAAACCCTAGTTAGATCTTTAACCAAAAGTGATTGTTATCTTTTTTTTAAATTTTATTTTATTGGTACATTTTACATATACAATATGATAGCATTCATCATTGGAAATTTGCACTTTTACATAATCTCTTTTGGTTATTATTTTTTCCCCATTCCCCTGCCCTCCCTTCAACCCCTCCATCCCTCCCTCTTTAGAAAGACTTTGTTTCCTTTTTTTCATTTTCTCATATTAATTCCATTCCCTTCTTTCCTTTCCCCTACCCTCCCACTTCCCCTTACCCTTTGCCCCTTTTCTTCCTATTTCACGTTATCTATTATAATGTGAAATAGGAAGATATTTTAGTCCTTGTTTACACATTCAGTTTCTCACACTAGAGAAACTATTCAGTATTTATACATGTGTGTCCTATTTATTTCACTTAAGAGTATCGCCTCAATGTGCATCCATTTA